CTGAGTTACAATCATATTACATCCTGACAGCGTATAACTTACTGCGTTTCGACTCAATCAATAAGCCCCCCCTCTCAATTAAGCCCCCCCTCTCCAATAAGCCCTCCCTCAAACGTGCCTAAAATAAATAAGCCCCCCCCGGGGGCTAAATAGAGGATTTACGGTAGATTAGAGCAAATTAGAGTAGAGTGAAGACATTTAAAGTGGCTCGATACAATAATTTTGAAGCACGACTCCTCTACTTGTATTGCAAACTGCGCGGCACCAGATATACCTTGGGCAAATATGAGTTTATACTAAGTGTAGGGATAGATGGAAGTTTTAAATCGTGTGTGTTTCGTGACCATCGGAAACGCCCTGAAGGCACAGTGACGTCATGTGATTATTTTTAAAATCTATTTTTTGGCGTAATCTGACCAGACCCGGAGAAACGGAGTTCACTATCTGAAACATGCTATGGTAGTCTTCAAGGTCAGAAAGTTTCAGAGATTTTCATTGTTCAGTTTTAAAATTATTCGAGTTTTAATATTTTTTGGATCGTGAATCTATGAAATATCAACGGAGTCCCGTGATATCCACAAAATGCTTTAATTTCGGTCTCTGACAAACTATTTTTACAATATTTTCGCTTATCAATGTAGTAACCAGTGATGATGAGAAATCGAGATCAATCGGTTGGCCTGATTGCAGTTAAATACAAAATTAGAAAAGTGAGCATTTTAAATTTCATAAATTCAAGTGATTAAATAGTACGAAAACGTGAAATAAAAGCAACTTACTATTACTCACTAAAAACTATAACTGAAAAACTTAAATAATTGCACAACTATTACCACTACTGTCACTATCACTATCACTATCACTATCATCATCATCCTTCCCTTCTTGCATTGCCTGAATAGTTAATTGAAGCATTTTCTCTTGAACCGCCAAACCAGCCTCTCTTTGCTGTTTTATCTCTTCTCTTAGCATATTAATCATTCCATCTCTTGTTTCCACTTTTTCTTTCAAGACTTCAAGCATATCTTCCATAGGCTTTTGGCGAGCCAACGCATCCTTTCTTTCTTGCTCTCGTACTTCAAAGTTGGCCTGCAGCATGTTGTCCATCTGTTCTTTGTGTTCTTTTAACTTTTTCTCAAACATCTGTTCAAGTCTTATCCTTTCTTCTTCCTGTTTCTTTTGTAGAAGAACCAACTTAAGAAAAATTAACATTATTCTTTTAAACACGAATTTTGGAAAATGGCTTAACTATTTTACTGAGGATGCATAATTGAGTTTGATCAAAGTGTAGTTCAAGTTTGATTGAGCATACCTCTTTTTCTTTAACTTGCTTTTCTTTTTCTAGGCGAGCTACATCCTCCTGAAAATGATTACGAGGGGCTGTTACTGATACGTTGTTTTATGTTTACTGGCTAAAAAGGCGTTTGCAAAGTTCGTTTCGAGTTCCAAGTAGTAATTTTAATTGCTGGTGCGAACTCATGATTCACTGATATTTTCTTTGCTTGGATTCCAAAAGATTTAGTTCATTTCATGATATAAGGTTCTTAACCTTTAAAATAATCTTTTACGCATTAAAAATCAAGATTCTTTACGGAACTAGTTTCGTCTTTATCGACCTTTTCCATCCTTAAAGATATACCTTTAAAAATATATCTTTAAAAGATATAACGTTTTTCAATGAAACACGAAAAAAGAAATACTCGATTCCTCTCTCTCTCTCATTACGCGCTCACCTTTTGCTTTAGCCTTTGTTCTTCAAGCGCAGACTTCTCTGCCTTCTCTCTTGCCAAAGACGCGTCAAAGTCTTTCATTCTTTGCAGAATATCAATGTTCTTTTCCATCTCGCTTTTTAATTCCTTGAAAGAAAATCATGCACAAAATAGTTTGTGCATAGCAGGACAAAACAAACCAACAAAAAAGATACATTTTAGGTGGTTTCTAATTGTTATACTCACCGGATGGAAGTTCATGAACACAGTGGCCTGAACATCCTTTGCTCCACGTGCTTTGGCTGCGTAGCTTTCCTGGATTTGATTGTATGCACTGACGATGTCACTAAACTGCATCTTTGATGCTTCAGGACCACGAAGACGTTTAAGCACTGGATCCAGCATGCTTTGTTTGAGCTCTTTGAGAAGTTGATTGCAACAGGCCTCAGTTTCACGTGTATTTTGTTCTATCCACTCGGACAGGATGACGTCAGCTTTTTCCTATCCAAGAAAAATAACCGTGTTGGAGAAATCATTGGAAAAAATTGCCCATACATTTGGAATATTTTCCCTTTTCGGTCTTTTTCCGCTCTTTCCAAAGCAAAAGGTTGTTCTTAAAAGTAAAGTTATATAGCACAAGTAAACTGCGTGACAAAACATCCTAAATGACCCGTAAATCTTCTGTTCTTTCGCTAACTTTAGCGTATTTTGGAGGCTACGAAACCTAAGAAACCATAAGAGGCGAATGTATAGGCCAACAGATAGTATGAGCTTATAAAAATACAGCAAAAATACGGTTCTAAATTTTAACAAATTCCTATGAATTATATACCAAAATGTTCAGGAAAGCCCGGAGTTTTCAAATCCACTTCTGTTTTATTGAAAGGTTCTGTCTTATATCAAGAAGAGACGATTTTCTAGCTTTTTCCCGGTTATGTCATGCATTTTCTCTTGAATACGTCCAATAGCGTACATTCAACTCAAAACGTACGGTGGTTTTTCCACGAATAGAATTCAATCTAAACCATATAATACAGTCCGTGAATAGTTGAATTAACTGAATCCACTTCTGTTTATTGCCTAGATAGTCATCATTTTGAGAAAAGATCCAAAAACTGTGTTTTTAAGACATAATTTGTATGGGCTCACATGAGGGGGCGTGAGCTTGAAATCGTAGCTGACCAAATGTTAACAGATTTTTTCTGATGACTCCAAAACTACTTCTGCGCCAATTTAAAAAAAGTTATCGACAAAAATTGCTCAATCGCATTACTTCAAGCTTACCCTGAGTTCATTCAAATACTTATCAACACTTTTGATTGACAAGTTGAACGTTTCCTTGCGAAACGTTTCAAATCCAGCGTCCATTGCTTTCAGATGTGCAGCCCTAATCACGTCAGCTTCGCAGGGGATCTTTTCTTTCATTTGTGACGTCATTTCCTGTTTATAGGCAGCAAGGGCTGCAGCCAACACCTCAGCACATTTGTTATGCACAAATGTGTCCCACGCGTTCTCTACGTTGGGTACGGTGCCTGGAGTGTTGAGAGCCTCGACAAACAGCTGAATAAGAGCAGCCAGGGCTGGAAGACAGCAAGAAAGCTTTGTGTAACTGCATTTAACATTTAGATGGTGTAAGAAACAAGCAAAAACACTGAATACCTTCCCCAGTCACAAATTCTCCTTCATTGATGGATTTCTTGGGGGACAGTTTGGAATGTAACATCTTCTTGAAGGCCTGGACCTCCTTCAAAAACTGAGGGTTAACTTGCGATTCCAGACTCTTATCGTTAAGATTGGTGACAACCTTAAAAATATTTAGTGAAAATGAATTGAAGCAAAAGAGGAACACTGAGAGAAAATACGAACTGGCACATTTACATTCTATTCACATAATCGGGTTAGTTAGTTAGATTACCTCGGGATCCGGCGAAGGTGGCGGGAGAGAAAACGCATCAAATCCTGAGAAGAAATTGAGGATACTATCTGCTGTTTTCCTGGCATCCTTGTTTAATTCTTCGTTGTCTGCATTTAACACCTGAACAAAAAAACTTCATGGTGAGGAATAGATTATCGAAATTTTTCCAATAATAAGTACGAAACAAGAAACAAGAAACAAACAACCAAAAGTGATGCGAAATTACTGCTGAGGAAAGGTAAACTGTAATTTACTTTTTTCAAAAAATACTCCTTTACGCTTTGAAACTTTTTTGGGAGACGGAGAACCGCGTCTCTCAAAAGCCAGATGAAGTTGGGAAATGCCTCGTAGAAATGGCTCTCGTCTTTATCTGTTGCATTCTTCTTCTTGTTGTACAATTGGATTCGCTGGGAAAGTTTCACGATGAAGCTGAAGTTACAGAGTGTCAAAGGTATCAACGAGGGCGTGCAAACGAATGTAGATGGTTATTGAACAAACTATTTTGTAGTAAACTGAAGTAAATAAGCCTAAATTGAACTAATTTTGATAATTGATTAGGTGGTTTAATGACCATTTGTACAAGTATACACGACCTTCAAAAAAACTCGGTTTGGGACTAAGGACAATTGAATGGAAGCGAGGTAAGTAAGGCCTCATTAGTAAACAAAGTCTACTCAGTACGATATTTTGTGTCAAAGTCATAAGTCGTGTATAGGTAGGACTTTTAAGCTTGACGTCAGTCGTACTATTTAGATGCAACTTCAGGGTCCAAAACGAAAACTGAACAGTTCAATCAATGAAGATTTTTACTGGCTGATTCCCTACTTTCTCTTCATGACAGGATTTGTTGTCTAAATTTCTAATTGTTTCAGATTGAGGTTAAATCATTAAACTAGCATTTCTCGCTTTACTAATCATTTTCATTAACTATGGTTAAATATGCTTGGTTTAAAAAAGACTATTTTCATCATTAATTATAACAAGGATACTCTAGACCCTCGAGGTCTGAGCGGTTGGGCACACCAGCAGAATTGTAGATCAATATGGATGACAAGAGAACAGATAATGTAAAGATCCTGTGATCATCTGCTTGCTTGGCATAAACAGAGTCAACTCCTTCAGAGTCAAGCAGGATCACGGTGAAGTCACGACCAGTGCTGTCTTGGAATTTCTGGGGTACAATCCACAGCCATATTCCCATGGTCTCTGGATCCATGTAGTGACCCAATGGGAAAACCTCGAGAARAAGAACAATAACGAGCTAAAATGATGAAAATTACGGTAGTTAGATATTATAAACCTTATTTAAGTTTCAAATCTGATAGCCGTTACAAACCACTAATTGGGGACACAAACCACTAAATGGGGACATAATATTAGACTCACGAATCCACGAAACCACCGCCGATGTCCGCTGATGTAAATATTTACGAGGGTTAATTGGGAGTGGGAGGGGATCAGTACTACTTGTTTATGCACTCACTTTATCACCTRGCCCCAAGGGTATAAATGTCAATTAAATCCAATATCTAGATAGATAGCCAGACAGGATTAACTGACCTTATTATCTCCTTTTCACTTATGCGTATGTGAACTCATAAACCATAATAATAATAATTAATATTTTAGAAATGATTTAACATTGGTATYTAGTTTAGATAGATGAATGGACGAATTTAGATATTATCCATATCTAATTTAAAAACCCTACCTCCCCTTGGTCAAACGCCTTGCTCAATATGTAGGATTTTCCCATCCTGCAAGGACCAGCTATGGACACAACACATACAGGTCCCTTGATCTCCCTCAAATTGGTCTAGTGCTTTGGGAATGGCATTCAACGTTTCTCGACCAACACCTTTCTTCTTGTCATATGTTCCAGTCTGTGCATCCCAGGTACAGTTGTTGGGTAACACCAGAGGAATGGCTACCTTGCTCATTGCTAAGTTCGCTTTATTTGTTGTAATGAAAAAAAAACTTATGACTAGAGTCATTAAGTAGATAATCTTTTCAGTTGAATTGCATTCGTACTAAATACGGTTTTAAAAATTTATGCTTATTTGAATCAAAACAGTTTGTAAGGAAGTTTTGGAAGTCATGCAAGCATTCAGGTTATGCACAGACGCGCCAATTATAATTTGATCAGTGTGTCTTAGAAACTGTCAAGGCTTTCATCAGTCTTGCTTGCCACGACATCCGAGAGCCCCATATATAGAGTTAACATCTCAGATTTAGTTCACAGAAACTTGACCTCAATTTTTTGACTACACATTCTTAAGTAAGGAAAGCAAGATTTGATAATTAGAAATGTTATAAATAAAGCTTTTTGCTAACTGTTTCAAGTATTGAAGAAATTACACCTTTTTTATAAGTATACCCTCGTTACTTTCGTCTCAACTAGCTAATTTATGAGCGAAATCACAGTACGGGCAGCACAAGATATATTTCGCAAAATTTTCGTTAGCCGTGCCAATTTGCATCCTGTTAGCGTGTAATCAAGGTTTATCACACGGTATATATTCTTTTTCGCATTTTTTTACTAGAAACAGTGCTCATCGGTCCCTTCCCGTTGTTTTGAGGTGCCTCCGATCGAGTCTAACATCAGGGCTACGAAAACCGCTTAGACAACAAAGCTTATTGAAGACGTTTCTGGAATACGCCCTTTTCATACTTGATACAGCCAGCACAAGAAACTCTATTACTACTTTAAATTCACTATAGTTTGAAAACTATTTCTGAGCTACAATTCAGTAGCTGACAAACATAGTATCACATAATGAGACTTTTACCTGTACGAACGAATAAAGCGTGCGTCTAATTCGCTTTCTTCCTTTCGGCCCAACTTCTTACCAAGACAACGTCTACAGTAAACACAAAAGGATCATTTCGGGGAACCCCCGTAAAGTTTCCGTTATTTCCAAGAAAAAGGTTTTATTACTGAGCACGCGCACAACAGAAGGCTATCTAAACTTTTGCTTTTGGATGTAAATTCGCATTTAAAGGATGACCTGCAGAAGCGAGAATAACCATTTGTTCAGTACTTATTACACGGTGTAGTGACTTTTATCAGTTACTGACCTTATTATTACTACTATCCAGTCCTGCAGGTAAATATAGAATAATGTCAAATGTCGGTCGCTATTACAGCACCAATCTAAATGTGTGATCAGTTTGCCGAATGTATTCGCATTTACGATCATTTGTTAGTGAAAATATCCATCTCCCTAAGCCAAAACCAAGTTTGGGTAAAAAAACCTTTAGATATTCTAAAACATTGGTGTTCAATTGCTTAGTTATGCCATTTCTTGAAAACTAAAATAGCGCTATAATAACATTATTATTTTTGCATAGGGGGAGAGAGGTGGGGGTTTCGTTCGAACCATCGAACCACCCCTAGCGACAGGCATGATCTTGTTATTAACATTTACGAGCTTTATAAGACAGCATACCATTCCTGCATAGCTTGACATGGCATATGTTGTTGGTCTATATCTAGATTACGACATGTCATTAATCATATATATATACTTTTTTCCTTCTTATATTTATAATTTTCCTTATACATTTTCTCTTTGTATGTATATCATGATAGTTTATAGTTTTTCTTATATTTCTTTGTACGTATATGGTATATATTTTATTAATATTATTTGTATGGATTTATGTAACACAGAGCTCGAGGGTTCCTCTGGATACCCGGCCTACAGCTTTTATGATCTTTTAGTTGAATGGGCTATCCTGTTTAGGTAAAGGTTCTATAACCATAACCATAAAATCGATTTTAAGTAAGAGTTAATTTTTATAAATACCCGGCTTGTGTTAGCCTGCTGTGCAGACGTTTTTAGTGTCGGCTCGTTCCTTTCCCTCCCCAAACTTCTGCTCAAACTAGCCACACATTCCTTTCCCTTAGATTGACCAATCAGAGCGCGCCTCTCGAAATGCTGGAAGTTGACCTTCACCTTGGCTTACTTTCGATATCGATGAAGCCTTTAGAAATTAAATGTCTGCGAAATTTAGATAAGCGATCTTAATTCGTAGCAGAAAGAAGCCTTAAGGTGCTTCGTCTCTGAAAAACGAGAAGTTTTCGTAAATCTTCCAATAGGAGCTGGAAAATCGATGGTTTACTGTTTGAATCATGAAGACTGAGATCGATCTCCAGTACTTTTTCGATAAGTTCTTTGATGTCGACGGTAGATTTGTCATATATTCTTATCCTTTCATTTACGACTCCCTCACACGAACATAAAAAGCGGTTAGATTCAGCTCCTACAACTTTCTTATGGGTCCTATCCATATAGATTTGGAAAATATTAATATTTTATACGAAGATTTACGAACTTTGGACGATACGTTTTCACGGGAAGTAGTTGACATCATTTTTTGACGTTGCTGACTGGTCCGATTAAACGAAGGGAAAGGAATGTGTGGCTAGTTTGAGCAGACGTTTGTGGGGAGGGAAAGGAACGAGCCGACACTAAAAACTGGTGTGGACGACGTGATTAATAGAAAGAAATCCGTTCGGCGAACGTTTCCATTCGATTGAATTCGGCAATCGAGTGAAATCCAAATAACATTTTAAATTTTTAAGCATTCGATTTTGTTAATCATTTGCGGAATGCAATTGAATCCAAACATTAAATCCGATTAAATTCGATTGATCACGCCGCCCTTTCCCTAGTACGACCCTAGAGACGTTTCTAATGATTGTGACTAATTCAATTGTTTCTTAGAAGAATAGTTAAATATGGCGTCACATTCGATACCTCTGTGTCTGCCTGACAACTGCTCATGGAACGAATACACCAGCGAGTACGAGAAACGAGGAAAGAGTCGCAGTACACTCAAGGTCATAAATGCAGCGTTAAGGAAACTAAGAAGCATCCAAGGTCACGTGTGTGTTGTGGCTATTGCAGGGCCATGTAGGAAAGGCAAGTCCTACATCTTGTCTAAAGCGTTTACTGATAAGCCAATCTTTCCCTTGGGACACCTAATGGACCCAGAGACTATGGGACTCTGGATGTATGTTGTGCAGGAGAAATTCAAAGACGCGAATGGAGAAGAGTTTACTGTGGTGTTGATAGATTCTGAAGGCACTGACTCAGTGCTGTCCATGAAAAGAGATGATGACGTCATCTTTACCTTGACAGTCCTTCTCAGTAATATACTGATTTACAACTCATCTTCAGTGCCCAAGAGAAGTGACTTGGAAGCATTGGAGTATCCTTTCTCATAAATGAATAAATACAAGCAATACATCAATGAACAAAATGAGCAGGTATGTCAAGGTTATAGGGAATGATAATGTTTATGACATAACTTGTTGTTGGGGAAAATATATTTGTTAATGAAAGGGGGGATGGTAGTGCAAGATAGATATGCTATTTTGATACTATAAATTTGAGCCCACATGTTTCAGTTTAGATACCCACTGCCAAACTATCCTTTTCTACTGAAAAAACGAAAGTCTCAGAAAATAAGTCTTAACTGAAGTCAGTCACGTGCTTAAATTGTGTCAGCGGATCCAAGTGTTCTCGGGAAAGATGACTACCCCCAAGCAAGCCCAAATGGTCTTCCCGTCATTTCTTTGGCTTTTAAGGGACGTCATATTACAAATTCCCAAAGACTGTAATGATGTGAATGATTACTTTCGTAARAAGGTATGGTGATGGTGATGCAAAAGTGATGACTGATGATGATGATAATGGTGATAATGACGACGACAATTGTAATGCCAGTGATTGGATGGTGAATTGAAAATGGGGTTCGATTGCTACTACAGTGCAACCTCTATAATACGGACACCGAAGGGCCAGGAAGAAGTGTCAGTAATATAGAGGCGTCCATAATATAGAGATTGTGTCTGTGGAACAAAGAATGCATTGCCGGGACCTAAATATCTGTCCGTAATATAGCATCGTAGAAGAGGTTCCACGCTATTCGGTCGACAGTAATGAGAACGAGGATGGCATGAGGATGATGATGATGATGATGATGATGATGATGATTAAAAATGATTGATTTTCATGAAGATTGCTAAGGCTGCGTTCATAATGTATGGCAGAGGGGGGCAGGTGAAATTGAGGGGGGATCGGGAAAATTTTGGTAGGAAAAAGTGGGGATGGGCAAATTTTTATCAGAAAATGGGGGGGATGCACAATTTTTGGAAGAAGCTATAAGCCTTGCTTAGGGGGGATCGTATTTTTTTGCATGACTTTAAGGGGGGTGTTAAGAATTATTCTGGACATTTCAAATTTTCACCTCCCCCCCTCCCCTCTGCCATACATTATGAACACAGCCTAATGGTCATTCATTGACGATGATGAATAACGATTATCGTGACGATGGCCTGATGTTGTGAAAATAAGGATCCCGCAGTAACGTAGCAAGAAGAGTTATGCCAAAAATGTTATGATCTTGCGTGGTTGATAATGATGACAGGTTTCATTAAATTGATCAGTGTTGATGTACGAGCTAGACCTATTATCAGAGTGTTTGGATGTTTTTGCTTCTCAGGTATTCAGTGTGGGCTCACCGGAAGCTGGAGATAAGGTTCAAAAAGTAGCCGACACTATTTTGAAATGTTTTCCAAGTTTCGAAGCGTTCGCTCTCCCTTTTCCTTCTTATGACCCGGGTGTTGTCCAGAATCTGTCAGCAGAGAGTAACAGAGGTTCTGTCAATCAAAAATTCCTCGACGGAGTAGAGGGATTTAAAGGGATATTGAAGCGTAAATTGGAACCAAAGAAAACCCCTGATGGAAAAGGCTTCTTGACTGGCGAAGGTGAGACTGAATTAAATATTTTAGTAAAATGAGTCACGTTAACAAAACTGTAAAAACTGAACATGTTTAACTGTTCGAAAATGAGCAATCAGCACCCTGAGAATGAAGTTATATTAAACCAAAATGAAACAAAACACTAGTAAGCCATATGGCTTTTGTATCTACAAATGTACCTTCCTCGATAATGTATATGATATGAAAAGGTATTATTTGCAAGTACAAAATGTTAGATAGCTCTTCAGGTACGTTCAGAGTTCGTTCATATATCCAAGCCAAGTAAGGCCATCTATGCGTAATGATACGTTATGATTTTTCAGCTCTAGCAAGCATGGTTGAGACATACGTCAAGACTCTCAATACACCTGGTGCTGTACCGTCCATTGCTGGTGCATGGGAAATGTTCATTGCACAGAAAGGAGAAGAGCTACTCAATATAGCAAAGACCTTTTATTACCACGAAATAGAAGACGACATCAGCTGGAGGCTCCCTTGTGATTCATCGAAAATACGCGAGATACACGCTAAGGTATTGGACCATGTAATAAGAAGTGTTTTCGGGACTGAAGCCAAGGAGATCCCAGATGAGAAGCTACAGCAATACATTAGTGAACTGACGGTAATAAACCATTTCATCTAATCATATGCACTTACATCCTAAGCTTCCCTTTGTATACCTGAAAACAAACTGACGATGTGTATGACTTTGTTTTATTGCATCATTGCGAGGCTTGAGGTGTTTCTGTTGTATGTTTAGTACATTTTATGCAAGGATCCATCACCAGTATATTTGTCCAGGGTCCATCAC